GAAAAAAAAACAGAAAATAGAAAGAAAGAAAGAAATAAAAAAGAAAGAAAGAAAGAAAAAAGTGGAGAAAAAAAAACAAATCAGAAAATAGAAAGAAAGAAAGAAAGAAAGAAAAAAAAAGAAAGAAAGAAAAAAGAAACAAACAAAGAAAAAAGAAAGAAAGAAAGAAAAAAGTGGAGAAAAAAAAAAACAAATCAGAAAATAGAAAGAAAGAAAAAAGAAAGAAAGAAAGAAATTACCCAAAGTGTATAAAAAGAAGTGGAGAAAAAAAAAAACAAAACAGAAAATAGAAAGAAAGAAATTACCAAAAGAGTAAAAGAAAGATATAGAGAAAAGAAAGATCAGATCAGAAAAGAGAAAGAAAGAAAGAAACTACCCAAATAGTATAAGAAAAAATGTGGAGAAAACGACAAATTATAAAATAGAAAGGAAATTAACCAAAGAGTAAAAGAAAGAAAGAAATAGAGGAATGAAAGACCAGATCAAAAAAAGAGAAGTAAGAAAATATACACATTGTAGAAGAAATAAATAAATACTGGGTAGAAAGGTTCAATCAGAAAAGGGAAAGAAAAAAAGAAAGAAAGAAAGAAAGAAAGAAAGAAAGAAAGAAAATGCTTAAAGATTAAAAGAAAGAAAATCAAATTGAAAAAGGAAAGAAAGAAAGAATGAAAGAAAATGCACAGAGCAGAAGAAAGAAATATCCGATGAGAAAAGTGGAGAAAAGAAAAAAAAAAGAAGAAAAAAAAAATGGCTAAAAAGGTAAAAAAGAGAAAGAAGCCAAAGAAAGAACAATTAAGAATGATCAGAAAAGGGAAAAAGAAAGAAAATGCCTGAGGAGTAAAAGAAAGAAAAGTGTAGAGGAAAGAAAGATGAAATCAGAAAAATGAAATAGACAAAAAAAAAGAAAGAAAGAAAGAAAGAAAGAAAGAAAGAAAATGCCAAAGGTGTGGAAGTAAGAAAAGATTAGACCATTAAAGGAAAAAAAGGAGAATAAAGAATATAAGAGAGAAAAAAAAATACTCGATGACTATAAACATAAAAATTGGAAAGAAAATGACCAAAGAGAATTATGAGAAGAAAAATCTAATAAAAGAGATACAAAGAAAGAAAGGAAAAGTTGAAAGAAAGACAAAGAAACACGCGATATAATTAAAGAAAAAAAGTAGAGAGAGGAAAGATATTGAAAGAAGTGAATTAAAAATGAAAAGAGCAGTTAAAAAAATTCAGAGAAAGAAAGAAAGAATGAATGAAAGAAAGAATGAAAGAAAAACTGTTTGACACGAAGACTCCCACCACATCTTTCTGACCGTAGCTCAATTAGGCCTCATTTAAATACTCATGGAGACCTACTGGATCCTATTCGTAACATACTTGTTGATAACAAATATAATAGCATCGTCTACATATAAGAAAAGGCTGAACATAATGGAAGCCTTATTAATAAAAACAAACAAAATAAAAAACACTCAATAATATCAATTATGAGCATGGACACAACTTCTTGACCGTGTTTTGAAAATTAAACATTATATAAATACATACATACAACAATCTATTTCTTGTTAACATTGCATATATTCCAACCTTGAAAATGGCTAAAGATATAGCCGAAAGCGCTCGGGGAGAAAGAGCAATAGGACAGTTTTATATAATTTATACCCCGAAAAAAACTTAAAAAAGAGAATATAAGATCAACAAGAGAATTAAATGTAAAATTAAATGAAACGTGCATGTGTGTGTCATGCACGTTCCATTGAAACGTGCATGTGTGTTTGATTTAATTTCCATTGAATTTCTCATGTGATCTTAATTATATATATATATATATATATATATATATATATATATATATATATGCAAAAACAAGAGAATGACATATAAATGAAGAAAAGGTAGACAGATCTTGTGGAAAAATGAATGACAGAAAGAAAATTAAAGCAGAAAAACCCAATATTAAAAAAGGGATGAAAGAAAGAAAATAAAAAAGAGTAGAAGGAAGGAATACAATAAAAAGAAAGAAAGAAAGACAGAAAGAAAGAAAGAAAAAGGAGATATGAAAATTAATCAGTACTATTTTACATGCATATGCCTTTCTATATGTTGATAGAGATCGATGATAGACCGATAGATAGAAAGAGAGAGAGAGAAAAGAGAGAGAGGAGAGGGAAGTACGATATTACACGTATCCCTCTCTCTCGTGTCCTGTCTATTTATCTCTATCTCGATACATAGATGAGTAGATATGAACAGAAGAGGACGGAAAGAAAGAAAGAAAAAGAAAGAAAGGAAGAAAGAAAGAAAGAAAGGAAGAAAGCGATAACAAATCAGACAGAGAAGTATGATCTTACACGCATCTCACCCTCTCTTTTTCTGTCTATCTCTATCTCAATAAATAGATAAGTAGATATGAATAGAAGGAGACAGACAGATCTTGTAGAAAGAAAGAAAGAAAGAAAGAAAGAAAGAAAGAAAGAAAGAAAGAAAGAAAGAAAAAAGACATAAGAAATCAGACAGGGAAGTATGATCTTATACGCATCTCTCTCCCTCTCTCTCTCTTTCTCTCTATTCTGTCTATCTATCTCTATCTCGATACATAGATAAGTAATTATGAAAGAAAGAAAGTATCAAAAGCCAAAGCGAAATAAAAGAAGGAAAGAATTGTAGAAGAAAGAAAAGCCGAAGATGAAAGAAAAAGATAACTGGATTAGTAGCCAGATACGACTATCTACATTGATAAAAAAAAAACCGTAAAGAAAAGCATTTAAACAGATGTGAAAAGAAAGAAGAAATCCAACGAAAGAAAAGGAGACATTTTAAGGAGGAAAGAAAAAAAACAACAACAATATAAGCTCACAAAAGAGTAAAATGGCGAAAAAGCAAAGATAGGAGGCGTATTTAATTTTGGTTGAATGTTTCTCTTTCAAGAATAACAAAAAATTAGTCGATCAAACCGGCGTAAAAAAAATCCTAAGCTTTGCTGCCTCCTTTTAATCTTCTTAGAATTTCTTAGATTTTGCTGCCTTTTATTTAAAGACAAAAACCTATTCGATATTGATGCCGCTTAAAGGGGATGTCATTAAAATCTTTTTAAGGATCATAAATGTCCGGTTGGTATTTTCCCTAACCATATCTGTCAATATCTAACACTGGCAGAAACAGCCCGATGCAGTGGAACGTTGCTATCGTTATGTTATCTTTAGACTTCTTGGTAAATATATTACTATGCTATCAGTATCTACCACTTAATCCCAAAGAATTTTAATGTATTTTCCAAGAGGTGACATTAACAATGGAATTCCCAGATGGTAGTGTGACATTTTATCTCATTCTCATGCGGTTTGCGTTTTATAAACAGAGGTAAATCTGTGGGAAAATGGACTTCAAAGCGGTCACCTACTTGACCAAAAGAGAATAGAAAAATAATTAAGTGGATGAGTGCTTTGGGGGTCAAGCGATAACAAACCGGACGTTGATGATTTCCGGAAGCTGGTCTTTATTAACAGACACATCTGACGGTGGGGAGACTCCCTCGGTTAGTTACGACGCCGTCCGTTCGCGTTGCCAGCCATGTTTTGCGATGCCGACATGGACAAATAGTTGGTAGGAGTAAGAGTCAATGGAAAGGGCTCATCTATTAGCCCGACACGGAAGAATTTTTTTTTCCAAGTGATAACTACGTACTCACCCATATCGCGGAAGCGAATTCCTGATTAAAACATACCGGAAACTGGGTGTGGGTTGGCATTTCTTATTTTCATCTTTTGTTTCTCGGAGAGCTTGCAGAGAACCCTTTCCAGTTTTTGTTTGAAGATCACATTGAAGCATTTAAATTGAGAATCATCATACCGTGTTGATTCCGACAGACAACACTTTATTTCTCTCTTTCTCTTTCTCACCATCACACACACACACACACACACACACACACACACACACACACACACACACACATACACACACACACATATATATATATATATATATATATATATATATATATATATATATATATATATATATATATGAGAATACGTTATATATTTTAGATCTCACGAATAGTATTGGGAAAATTGTATGACAAAGTGGAAAAAGTTGACCTGTGACGTGTTTCGTTCTTCAGAACTTCATCGGACTAAATTCCTTATGTTGATAGAACTACACATGCGCGGGATAGAGGGTTACTGGGAATTTTTGTATTTTTTTTTATCAACCGAATTCATTCACTATTTTTTGTTGACAAATATTACAGGCGATGAAGTAAACTCCTCCTTCAGATTTTAGCTTATTGTTTTGTTTAGTATTGACTAACTCTTCAGTTGTTTTGAATGTAATAGTAGCAACTTTTATGTTGAGTTTAGACAGATTCTTTTCGATTATAGTTGTGATAGAATTAGTTGGCAGGATAATATTCTCTTTTGATTCATTGGGTTTCTAAGGAGTTTTTTGTTTTTAAATATTTTGTGGGACTTTTGTTTCGAATCGAATATAAAATAATTAAGGTACTGGAGAAGTTTGAAAGTGTCTTCCATGTATTTCTCCTCTTCGTGTAAATAATCCGGGTTGCATATTTTTAATGCTCTTAAGTAGAAACAGATGATTGTGCCGGATTTTATTTTGTTGTTATGATGGATATAGAAATTTATGAGGTCATTTTTGTTGGTTGATTTCCGGTAGACACCGAAATTTAAATTGTTGTTAACGCGGTGTACCTTGATATCTACGAAGGGTAAGGAGTTATGTTCTTTAAATGAATTCGGTTGATAAGAAAAAAGAACCCTTGTGTCGTGCGCATGTGTACTCGTACCACCATACGAAATTTAGTTCGATGAAATCCTAAAGAACGTAACGTGTCACAAGTAAACTTTTTTTTCCACTTTGTCATACAATGTCCGCAATATATATATATATATATATATATATATATATATATATATATATATATATATATATATATATATATATATATTAGCTATATATATATATATATATATATATATAGTAGATCTCGATAGAATAATTTATTCGATCGAGCACTGTAGGGAGTAAATAGTGAATTTGCAAACAGTCACTATTCCTGCTGATAATGCAAGATTCTCCAAGTCGATTGAGTTCTCTGAGAGACTGATGTGTTTATGAAAAATACGCAAAATTTGCCTCTCTCTCTCTCTCTCTCTGCTGGGCGTCAATGGCTTTAGGGTTAGAATCTCCAACTGAGACCAAACCCGTTGTGTTTTGGTCCCGGTCCCGGCATCGGCCTGAAACGATCGGATTTCTGGCGACACTGATGAGCTGTGATACAGTGAAACAGTCTCTCCTTGGATGGCTATATATATCGGTACACCAAAAAATTCGATATAAAATGAGCATACCATGATTAAAAAATTCCCCAAACTTAAAACCAAATTTTTATCGTCAACATCTTTATGTTATTAACAGGAAAGATAAAAGGATTTTTGATTATTAAATTATATTTTTTTATCCTTTTTAAGACGTTCAAAATTTTGGTTAAATATCTTGTTTTTCTTGCGTCAGCAGAGGGACCGAAATTAGCATAGGAAAATTTAACGTTTTTTTCCGGTGAAAAACACACTGATTTGGAAATTTTTCTAAAAATCAAATAACCTTCGGATTTTAATGAAATTTTCAGGACTTATTCATAAATTTTTTTTTTTTTTCATAATTATTTTTTTTAAATGTTTCAATTTTCAAAAATCTTGGTAAAAATATCACTACACCAGTTATTTAATTTCATGAAATTTCGAGAAATTAATTTTTATACCGCTTTGATGTTATATAAGTTATACCCAAACTCATTAGAGAATTTAAATGATCAATTTCTTTTTGTAATAGTGGACCCCTAGTTACTGTAAAGCTTCTCTGAATGAAACAAAAACATAATTTGTTTAGAAAATATTTAATTGCCTTTGTGAATAAGATATATGATGGAGACTATAAAAAAATATTTTTTTCCGATGAATTTTATTCCTGTTTTTGAAAATTTTAATTAGAGTTATACTTATTATAAAACCCAGGTTTGTGTGTGTCTGTTCGTTTATATATTAGATCGGATTTCCTACATTTTTCAACCGATTTCAACACAACTTCACAGGACTACGTAAAATTATCTTGCGGTGGTTCTGGCAGCACCAAGAATTGGAAGAAAAAAATATTTTTGCACGAAATCAATTTGAAAACACAATCAAAAGGCATCGCTGTCGCGAGAATGAAAAGGGACAACTCATATCGAGTTATACTTATTATAAAACCAAGGTTGTTTGTTTGTGTGTGTGTGTGTGTTCGTTTATATATGGGATGGGATTTCCTACTTTTTTCAACCGATTTCAACAAAACTTCACTTTTTTTTGGCTGGTAGTGTTTCTTATTGTCTTGCACATTTTTTTCTTTATTTTTACATTCAGAATGCTTTAAAAATTCCATTTACAAGACAATTGTTTATAATAAAATTCTATTCAATCGGTAGATTCATAACGATTGAAAACAATGTTTTTGTTTGAGTTTGGGTTTGACTAATTCGTAAAAAAAAAACTAATTAAGACATGCGTGTTCATCAACCTTAAACAATGATCTTTGTCAATTTTATTTCTCAGTCTTTATGATGATCGATACTTGATCTATCTCTTACTGTTATATCCCCATACAATGCCGACCTCTACAGCTAGTAATTTATAAAATTTTAAATGTTTTAAAATTCTGTGTTAATTTGCATATGTTAGGTGATATTGTTTTAAGTAAAAAATATATCTACTAATCATAAATGGAAAAGATTACTACTATTCACCGATCACCAGTATTTTAAAAAGAATTTTGCATTTTTAAGACGTATACACGTGCCGAATTTTTGTAAATACAAGATGAAAACAAGTGCGGTAACTATAGTAAATCTAATGCCAAGGTACATAAAATTCAATAAAACATAAGAGTATTTTCTTAATTTTTGAAGATCATAGATTAGTTAAAAATTATAACTGTCGCTCACGTTATATTCTTCAAGTTATTTTTACAGTTATATCTCCTGGGAAAAGCATTAGAAAACTTAGCGGCTGTTAATCTGTCAATAGAGATGTCAACACCTAATCGAAACATCTACCTGTATGTTAAAAATCCATTACTGCGATATTTTAAACTAAATGTAAATAATAATTTTTACAAATCAAACTTTAAGTCAGCGAATAGTCCATAAATAAAAATTCAGAAAATACTTTATTTTTGAAAGATTTTTTAATAAAGAGACTTACACAGTGTTGACAGATGGCTAAAATGGCTAAAATCAGCGACTTTTTTCCGAATTAAAAAAAATATTTCCAGTTAATTTAAATTAGTTTTGAAATACAGCAAATGTTTGGCTTATTGAAAATATTAAATTTAATCGATCAGATTGAAATTAAAACTAAAATAAAAGCTTAAAGAAAAACTTTCCATTTTTAAAAAATTATTTAAATTCTTACATATTGCGTTTCTCTGACTTTATATATATATATA